AGAAAAAAAACATTCACCATAAATGCATTGTTCAAGAATGCTATATGTTCAATAGAATTCCCATACCTAAAAAAACCTAATTTAATCATTTAAGGTTTAAACTTAAATATTAGAAATGAAGAACATTTTAGAATGTTTAAATTAATGCTTATAATATAAAGAGCCTAATCTTCAAGTTACAGCACAGTCTGTTTATGTTAATTTTACAGCTATGCTATCAGAAAAGGAAATGAAGGCCAGAATTGTGCAAGATTTAGTGATTTTGTTTAGTTGGGCTTCATCCAGACTTTGCACTGTCCCAGTCATGAGTGTTCAGATAGCTGGTGTTTGACTGTGAGCTTCAGGTTTCAACACACAACATTCAAAACAAGATCCAGTGAGATGACCAAGGCTTGCTTGAATTTCTGTCAAAACCATCCCAAATCCATAGGAGTTAAAATCATCTTGCAGCACACACTTAGGAATCTGCCAAAAAATAGACCTGTTAATTATAAAGGTCTCCAGGCAGAAACTTATCACTTATAAGTCTGCATAGCACCAAACAGATCTATGGTGCCATATAAATAATGCATAATGAAAACAGCGATAACATGGATGATCTCTTTCTCAGAGCTATTTGCATAATTATATACTTGCCCACAAGATGGCAGTAGAATCTTTGAAATCTCGAAGTATGCAATCAATACATGCATAGATTTACAAATAAATGGAAATCTAGCTGCCTGGGCTGTACTGGTAATTCTAGCCCATTACACTGTAAGGTGAAAACAGATTTTTTCTGAAACAAGCGTTGTAAAGCCAGGCACATTTGGAATGTTATTTTACCAAATTCCTTTGATGAATAAAGAAAAATATTTAAATAAGTGAGGGATGGAAAAAAATGGATTAATCAGATTTATCTTTCCCCAACTTTCAAAGCATTCTATTCTTAACATTATCCATCCCAGTACCTGCAGACGTCCTTCCCATTTCCCTAATGTATTTTTCAAAACCCAAGAGATTGATATTGCAGCAGATTATTTAAAAAAATAAAATTCTAAAGAGAAAAGTAAACCAAAGGTATTGAAAACTCATTGCTCCTATGGAGGTATTCAGTGGTTAGTTCCATATAGAATGGCAACTGTGTTATTAATTACTCTTCTCATTCAGTTTGCTGATACAAAGATGGGCCCAGATCATAAAACCTAATAACTGAACACTCCTCCAGATCTAGGAAAATTTAGATTTTGATCTGGTTCTTGGTCTCAGCTTTATGGCTCAAGCTCATTTCTGAGTGATACGAGGATGTTGCAATAGCTCTGTTCTTGCAATGATGCTCTTATCTGGTATATCCACATTGAAGGTAAAAGTCAAGAGGTTGCCTTATAATAAATCTCCCTCAGTGGAATTTTTATTGGAAAAAATAGGACATGCTTTCTATAGAAGCTTTCTCTAAAAGAGATTATGAAATACTATGAAAACACTTTTAGAAAGTAGCTGAGTTCACCCTGAGAGTCCCTTTGGTTTAGTGATGAGGGGAGGGAGACCTACAGAAAGCAGAACCACTACAACCTCTGTCCTTTTACCTTTATAAAACCCTGTCCTTACTTTGTCAGACTAGCAGGGCATAGTTTCATAGTTTCTAGGGTCGGAAGGGACCTGAGTAGATCATCTAGTCCGACCCCCTGCCATGGCAGGAAAGAGAACTGGGGGCATGTCTACGTGAGATGCTTAACTGTGCAGTAGCATAGTTTACTGTGCACTAAGCATGTGCATCTACACATGCACCGGCTTACTACACAGTAAACCTTGCTAATCGTGAGAAAATTTGCAAATCCCAGCCCCATGCCCCGATCAGGTAATTGAGGCACAGGGCTTTGAAAGAGCTGCAGGGTTGGGGTAGGTCCCAGCCCCTGGCCCAATCTGCCAGTGGGGCAGCTAGTACAGAGCTACCTGCTAGCTGCCCCACCAGTGCATCGGAGCAGGGGGCTGGGAACTGCCCATCCCCTGCAGCTCTTTCCAAGTCTCCTGCCCCTGATTGGGGAGCCAGGACCAGGAGCTCCCTGTTGCCAGGACAGAGGGACATTGTCCCTGCCCCAGCAGCAAGCAGCCCCCAGGGCCAGGAGACAGCTGTTTCCTGACTTGGTGCTCCCTGCCAGCCCCTGGGCTAGCACCCAGGGGGGCTAGAGCTCCCCCTTGTGGTGGCAGGGGCCCATTGCAGGCCCCCAGGAAGCACAAACAGTTTGCAGCAAACTGTTCTCACTTCCCTGCATGTGTAGATGCCTGTCCAGGAGCATTTACTCATGAGTACATGCGGAAACCCTCATTATTCATGGATTTGGGATTCGCGGTTTCAAATATTCGTGAATGCCAAACCTGCTTCTTAAATACACTTAAAGGAGCTCCTTGGAAGTGCTGCGCATGCCACCGCTGGGCTCCTGCCATTGCCAGAACAGCCATCTCCCCCACCCCCACCCCAGCTGCTGAGGGCACTGAGTTCACAAACACAGACCCCGTTCATGAATGCAGTGCCTTATTCGCAGATTTCACCATTCACAGGTGATACAAGAACGTATCCCCCATGAATGGTGAGGGTCACCTGTATTTTACTCATAAGTAAACTGATCCTGGATTAAATGTATGTGTAGATGCACCCACAGTCTTGCCATATTAAATGCAACTTGTTGCAACTCCTGCTAATAAAGGTTGGAGACTTCATGTTTGAAATGTTTTCAACATACTAGCATTAGTAAAAAAGCAGTACAAGGATTTAAAAGAAAAGTTATTCTAATAAAAGGCAACACTGCACCAGGCTGAACAGCATTCCCTTACTATGACTGGAATATGCTGGCTGCTGCCAGTGTGATGCTCTAGCCAGGGATGAGGTTACTGGCAAGTCCACCAGTGACTACCTCTAGCAATAGAACACCATCATCCACCTGGTTTCAAGGATAATACCATAAACATTCTACATGGGGTAAATGCATCTGGAGAGTGGGGGGGCTAAAGGTATTTTTCCATTTTAGGTTGAAAATGTAAACAGAAAAGCTGTGGTTCCCTTCTTCCTCTCCCTCCCCCCTCCCCACAGTAGCTCACAGCTGCTACACATCCCCTCAACTAAGAAGTCAAGACACACTGCATAAGAAATTAGTACATGAGGAATTCAATGGTGCAACTAGAACTCAAATACCCAGTTAAATCAGCAAGTTCTATGGCAGCTAAGTTAGTGGAACCATTCTTCCACTCAAGCTAGCAGACCATCCTTTGGTTATGCAGTGCTTGTCAGCCCTCACACTCCATCTCTGCTGGTGAAGCTTTAGCATGTTGAAGGCTTTCTAAACATTGTGTCAATGTTCATTTGTTCTCCCTTTCCAGCCTCTCATGGTTGGATCCATTTAATGAGAAACAGAAGTTACTTTACACAACTATCCAACACTGCCATTATTGACTGCCTGTGCCCCTTCTACTCACCCTCAGCAATCAGCTTGTCAAAGCAGAGTACCAGATGTTTTTGAAACACCATTTTGCACTTGCTTAAAGGCTACGTAAGGTGAAGACCATAAAGAATCAGGCCCAGTAATTAAATATAATTAAAATGGCATTATCACATGATGTATTGTTTGGGTGGATGGGAAGAGAATAAGGATACTGTAAACAGGATACTTCGACACTTACCTTTTCCACCCATAAGGAGTTCACCCATGTGGGTTCATTCTCAGGCCAGGCTCCAGTGTCTTGGCAGGTCTGGGCTGGGCAAGAAGGCTGAGCTGGGGTCATGGAAGAGAAAACCTGGTGGAGAACCATGATGCTGAGTCCCTGGAATCACGTGTTCCCACAACAGGACTCCATTGGTCCAGAGAGCTTCTAGGAAAAAGAAATGAGGAGCCAGAGGACTGGAGGCAGAGAACTGATGCATCAGTGCATGTTTATTATTAAGTAGATTAATTAAAGAGTGGCCAGGACTGTTTAATTAAGTCAAAGGGTGGACTTTAGCAACCAAATAGTTTCTTTTTTGTTGAAGTTCATGAATTGACAAACATTTGCTTATTTTATTTATACTGGATCCTGTGCTTTTTGGGGTGCATTCACAAATTAACAAATTGTGATCAGTAATTGATCTCCCTTGGATCATACTGATAATCCTTATGAATTCATGAATTAGTGGGCCACTAAGTGTTAATTGACAGTGAGATGAACCTTGGGAGACAATAGCCAGCAGAAGATTAACAAATCTTATCGAGTTGCCTTCCTTTCTAATGTGGAGATGAGGTAATGGATTCTCCATTGTAAGTAGGCTGATGTTTCAGCTGAACTTGAATTGGGGGCCTTTAGGGGCAGCAAGATACAGATGCTGATAATTGAGCAATTGATGAATGTTATGGTCCTTTTGTGAGACTAAAGTACTGATTTAAGTTGATTTAATTAAGGACTAAGACATGTCAGAAACTGGACTAAAGCAACAAATTGGTAACTGGATTACATAACGAGATTGACAATTTGCATCTTGAGAGGAAAGGGACAGGGGTAGGGGAGGAGAAGCCCTATGAAATAATCATTCAGGGTGAAGGTATCCCACGGTTCTCCATAAATATCCATCCTACCTTTTTCTATATTACAACAAGTTGGGGTGAACAAGACTGGAGGAGAGGGCAGTAATTAGACCCTTGTACCAGGGGAGTGAAGATGATCAAACATCACCTCTGACAGATACCCAAAACAGTGGTTCTCAGTAGTGGCTCCATGACTGTCCCATCAACTCACTGTACAATGAATGAAAAGACACACAATAAAACATTATTGAACCTTAGAGAGAAAAGTTTATGTTTATAGAACCCATCATCAACTCTCATGACAATCTGCTATTCACACCTACTGCCTTTGAGGATACACAGGGCCAACATTTCTTCCTGTTTAAGCAGCAAAACTCTGTGAGATTGAAAGAAACTATATCCAATTATACTGAAAGATAATTTGGCAGCACTGATCGTGCAGATCAGATATAAAGAAATACTGATTTTAGCCCTCTTTCACTTAATATGTTGAGAGGCTGAGAGCCATGGGACTCTTCAGCCTGGAAAAGCACAGGCTCAGTGGTGATCTGGTGGCCACCTATAAGTTTATCAAGGATGTTCACCAGTATCTGGGGGAATGTCTGTTCACCAGAGCGCCCCAAGGGATGACGAGGTAGAACAGTCACAAACTCCTCCATCACCATTTCAGGCTGGGCGTAAAGAAGAACTTCTTTACTGTCAGAGCCCCCAAGGTTTGGAACAGACTGCCGCCAGAGGTGGTTCAAGCACCTACTTTGAACGCCTTCAAGAGACATTTGGATGTTTACCGTGCTGGGATCCTATGATTCCTTCTGACTTCCTACCCCTGGGGCAGGGGACTGGACTCGATGATCTTCCAAGGTCCCTTCCAGCCCGAATGTCTATGAAAATCTATAAAATACACAACAGAATTCTGAATGTATGTGTTATGAGCTTTTATGATTTTTGCCACTGACAAGGCAGGCTGCTGCACTCCATGCTAGCTGAAGGTTCCAGAGGGGAATGCTACAACATGACACCAACTCACAGCCTGCGGAGTTCAATGAAACAGGCCTTCGGCACTACATGCACAGAACAAAGGAGCAAATTCAGAAACAAAGGTGTTCCAACAAGCAACTCAACCCCAGATGTCTGCCTATGCATTGGGCATCCATTTTTCAAAACTGAATCTGAAGTTTGGTATCCAAATTTCTATTTTAACTACCAAATTGTAAGTGCAGGTACCTAAGGAAGGGGCCAAAAATTAAGAATTTTGGCAAATAAAATGTAAGGGCCAAGGTGCCCAAATCTGGGTAATCAACAGGTAAAAAAGTTTAGAATTTCTCTGGGGGTAGTTCTCAGTGGGCACGTCTACATGAGACACTGTTCAGTAGCCTAATAACACTGCACAGTGGTGTGCTGGTCAAAAACCATGCTAATATGCTATAGCACAGTGTTATCAGGCTACTGTGCAGTAAGCATCAGAAAAAATTGTGCACCGTTGCTACTGCTCAGTAACTGTAGTTACTGCACATTTAGTTAGTACTTTATTAACCAAGTACTAAACTAAATGCACAGTACTACTGAGCACTAATGAACATGTAGATGCACCCAGTGTGAACTCAGCAGGTCACATGATGTCTTAGGTTCTCTTTCTTTTTTTTTTTGCTCTGGTAGATTCATTTTTTATTGAATAGCAGAGTAAATAGTCAAGTAAAACTAGGGTAAACTGTTGGCAGGTATGCCAGGCTAAGTAGCAGTCATTTACTTTTCTATAATTAAAAGTCAATATACAAGCATAACATTATTGTTTCAGTACAAAATACAGTACCATAGCCTATATGTTGCTTCTGAGCCTGTTGTACTAACAAAACAATCAGCTCAGCTCACTCTGCAAAAGAGCTGCTCTTAAAACTAGCCCACTTTATTGAATGATTGCACATATTTTGCCTGAACAGACCCAAGTTTTTTCCATGTAATGCTAAATTTACATTACTGGTAGCATTGATGAGAAAGGCCCTGATTTCCATTGCATTATGCATAGTGGAAGTGTCAGGATAGCTTTGATGGCATTTAATTAAATATTTGGCAGAGTTTAATTAATTAAATATTTAAACATTAAATACTAAATAGGATGTGATATCTGCTTAGTGGACATTATGTCTCAATAGCCATTAGTCATTAAGTAGATCTCAAATTGCCCCTAGAAGGCCCCCCTCAGCTAAGTGAGGTCTTAAGTATAGGCACTTTTGGATCCTCATTAATAAGTAACTGAGGCTGGATTAAGACTATGCAGAGACTGATATCCCTATTAACTGAAATGTTAATGTCTCTGGCTGAGATCAGGCTCTCC